GTCTGGGCTTAGCACTTTAATAGAGCAAGCTGTTACACTACAGTTCCCTTGGATGTTCATAATTGTTTCGGGATACTCAAGTCTTCCTCTGAGAGCTACCTTCTAAATCAAAGCGAGTAGCAGGAAGTGTTCTGATACAGTACCAGAGTACCTGCCTAGAAGCGGCTTCAACCATACTGGTTATTCTTCTCACATAGCAAGCCCAGAGGTTGGATATTCATTATGTCATTGCTTCAGCAGCTCGGCCACCTCAGGACTCAACTTCATTTCAGCTTCTCATTGAGTCTCCTGCCCTTCGCCTTAGATGCACAGGGTGACTGTAGCAGCTCCAAGTTTTCAGGTCCCCACTTGACAAGCAAGGTGTAGGGTTTCTTTTTATGCAGCTCTTTATCATGGTGGGAAATCTTTCCATGAGCCCCCAAGAGACAACCTCCCAGAAACCATTGGTCCAGAACTGGGTCATGGCACGCCTAAACCTGTCACTGCAGAAGGGAGCAGAATTCCCTGTGCCATTCCAGGTGTGCCATAGCTCTTGCCTGAACAGAATCCAGGTCTTACTGGTAGCACAGTGGAAGAAAGAATGCCTGTGCGCTAGACAACCGTCAGTGTCTGCCAGAATGTCCACCTTAGAGTAAAAAATAGGTTTCAGAAGGTGATGATCCATTTTGTACCCACTCAGACTACAACGACATAGCCAGGGCTCTTCATGGTGGCAGATTGTCGGAGGGGCGTTCTCCAAGGCCAGTCCATTGGCAGTGCCTCCGCCTGAGTCTCGTGTGCTTGGTGGGAGAGCTTACTAGCAGGAAAAACGGCATCACAGGACTCTCGCTGGTTGGTACTTCCAGTCTCAGCAAAACACCCCAAAAGGGGAAAAAAAGAAATTTGTAGGGCTTTTTCTTTTTAAAAAGTAAGCAGTTGCCCAAATTATTTTTAACTAGTCCGAAAGTGCTAGAATCAAAGTATTATACTTAGAAGTTCAAGGTAGCACTTAACTGCATGTAGTTGGATAATGAAGGGCAATAGATTTTTTCTTTCTTTTTCTTTCTTTTTTCTTTTTTTCTTTTTTTTAAAGGGAGTTCTTACTGCTAGCTAAAATTAGCTTTTAAACAAAGTCTCCTTCTCCGGATTTTGGGGTTTTTGACATATAGATTGAAATTATAACTGCTTTTATATGATTTGGAGAAGAACAGGTCCATCCTAGCACCCTGCCTACACCAGACTTCCATAAACCCTGACTCAAATCTCATCCCGAAATGTTGGAGCCAGCTCTCTGTCTGATGTGACCCTGACACCTACCCCAGCCCACATGCGAGAATCATGTGAGCGACAAAAATAACTCTCTCCTGGTGCTTGTGGCAGAAGTTGACAGGGAGCTAGCTCAAAGCTAATTGGACGGTGGAGAAGCATGAAAACGTAAAATGTTGCAGTGAACTCTGTCTTGGAGGACCTTTGCCTCTGAGGAATCTTCCTCTTGATCAGCACTATGACTTTCAAGAACTGAAATCCTCTTGCTTACGAAAGAGGCACCTCCTCCTAAGAAAACTGGTAGATAAAAGAATATTTCTTTGCTTTTCACCATAGACTCTTTGGCAAGATCACCTTAGATAGAATTCTCCAAAGTAGATCCCCTAAATATTGGTATAAAACTTGAAACACTGAAACAAATAAAGCTATTGTTAATTTCCACAACTTGAAGTTTAATTAGAAGTGAAAATAAATGCCACTAAAATTTCTTTGTGCAGATGGCATTATTTAAGTTACACTGGACTTCGTAAGAAGACATTTATTTTATTTTTTTCAGATTTTATTTATTTATTAGAGAGCATGAGTGGGGTGAAGGGCAGAGGGGGAAGCAGGCTCCCCACTGAGCAGAGAGCCCTGGGACTCCCCTGTCGTGACCCAAGCCGAAGGCGGATGCTCAACCGACTGAGCCACCCAGGCGCCCCAGAATGCATCTATGTGATAAAGAAAAATGCAAAAAAAAAAAAAAAAAAAGAAAGAAAAAAATGCTTTAATGCTTTTTCCAACTGCCTCTGTTAAAGTAAATCAGATATGTGTTGATGTTGAATGCAGAAAACACCATTATTAAAAGTTTTAAATAAGTTGTATTGAACTGTCATAATATTAAATTAATTGCTCCCTTAAGAATTGGAGATTGGGGGGCACCTGGATGGCTCAGTGGGTTAAGTGTCTGCCTTTGGCTCAGGTCATGATCTCAGGGTCCTGGGATCGAGCCCCGCATCAGGCTCTGTGCTCGGCGTGGAGCCTACTTCCCCCTCTCTCTCTGCTGCCTCTCTGCCTATTTGTGATCTCTCTCTGTGTCAAAGAAACAAATGAAATCTTAAAAAAAAAAAAAAAAAGAATTGGAGATTGGGGCGCCTGGGTGGTTCAGGCAGTTAAGTGTCCAACTCTTGATTTTGGCTCAGGTCATGAGATTAAGCCCTGTGTCAGGCTCTGAGCTCAGCGTGGAGTCTGCTTGTCCCTTGTCCCTCTCCTCCTCCTCTACTCCCTACCCCCATGAGTACACACTCTTTAAATAAATAAATAAAATCTTTTTTTAAAAATTGGAGATCAGGGACGCCTGGATGGCTCAGTTGGTTAAGCGGCTGCCTTCAGCTCAGGTCATGATCCCAGCGTCCTGGGATCGAGTCCCACATCGGGCTCCTTGCTCAGCAGGGAGCCTGCTTCTCCCTCTGCCTCTGCCTGCCATTCTGTCTGCCTGTGCTCGCGCTCTCTCTCTCTCTTTCTGACAAATAAAAAAAAAATTGGAGGTCATTTTCTTTTCTAAACTTTTGGTTTCTTTAGGGAAAAAAATTTTAATTGAACAGTTAAAACTGCTAAAGAGAACTCTGTCTCTACTTTGCAGAGGAGAAATGTGAATGATGGCCTCTGTGAACCTCTCTGAATCTCCTTACCTCCCTCCCTCCCCACCAACCTGACGGATGCTCTAGGCCCAGTCAGTGGGGACCACAGGCAGGAGCACGAGTGCCACGTCTCAGGAGTTGATCTGAGTGTTCAGGCTACCGGGGTCAGGGTACTGAATTGGTTTTCTAGTCCAGGCTGGCCTGCCAGCTCGTCCCACTTGTTCAGGCAGCTACATTGGTTAATTCATGAAGTACAATCTTAGTCTTAGCTGGCCGTGGAGTGCAATTATCTCTAAAAATGTAAAAAGAGTCAGTTTAAGGGCACCTGGCTGGCTTGGTCAGTGGAGTGTGTGGCCCTTATTCTTCATTAGTTCAAGCCCCACATTGGCTGTAGAGATTACTTAAATAAATACAAAAAAATTTTTAAACATGTAGAGAATAAGTTTAAATGAGAAAAGGTAAACATTTCCATTTCAGTAGACCCCAAAGCCACATGGGGGAAAGAATGGATGGGAAATGAACAGGCATGTTGGCAAGAGGAAAGAAGAGAATTCTTTGACAGATAATTCTCAAAAATTAATTTTAAAATATAGGTCACCTAGGAGTCTAGGCCTATAAATTGGCCTTTATTTTAAATATCTTTGAAGAACTTCCAGAGTACTTATTTCAAAATTTTCTTCATTCTGTACAGATTTAATGAGTATCTCTTGTCTTTAGAAAGTATTTTTGCCTCACTTTTTAGTTTATTACAAATTTAGTTATAAAATAACATGGCAGTGGAAATTAAAAACAAGTTACAGCATTTCCTAGGCACTTCCAGGGATTCATCCTTCTCTTGCTCTCCTCACCTCTAGCAGGGACAGATATAAAATAGAAAAATCAAAAGCTAAAAAGACATAGCTTGGTACAAAAGTAAGGTGGGTACCATCTCTATAGATCAGAAACAGGGTAGAACTCCTGAATGTCATGGGAAGACTGCAGCCTGACAGGCCTTGGGTGGCTAGTGTTCAAACCCCTTGGAGTAGGGGGAGCCCAAGTTCCCAACGGAAAGGATACCAGGAGCAGAGACTTTTAGAAAGGTGTGCACCTAGGTAGGGAGAGGACACAGAAGCAATGCACCATAAAAGATGGAGCCAAACCATACCCTGATTCCGTGGCTCTGCCTGCAGTATTCCCTGGACATCCTTGGAGCAGAAGCTTCACAAGTAAGCCCCTCACCAGTTGGAACATGAATTCACTTCAGATGAAATGAATTTTATGGCATGGCCTGACAAGGAACTTAAGTATGTTCAAGCTGTTCAAAGGTGAATGAAGGAATAACTTTAAAAGAACAAAAAATCATGGAAACAAAGGCATACATAATGGAAACAGATATGTAAAGAACAGGTAGAAATGAAAAACATTCCTAGAGATGGGATAGCTCTAGTTTTGATAGGCTGAAAAGAAAATTAATCAATTGAAATAAATTGAAAAATGTGCCTGTGATGCATCAGAAAGACACAAATTAAAAAAAAAAACAAAAAACACCGAAGGGCCAATAGGAGATACGGAGTTTATGCACAAAGGCCTGACCACTGTATGAAGTTGCCCCCTCCCTGTCACTCTGTCCATCATATCATTCTGTGCATCTCTGTCAATTCCTGTCACTAGCAGAATCGCCAGGTTTATGTACTTGTTAACTTACGCCTTCTGAGCTGCTTCTACAAGGTGCTGAGCCCTGTTTCAGGCATACTGTATGCGGACAGCCAAGAACGAGTCAGATAAGGATCCTGTGTTCTTGGATCCTGTGTTCTAGCCTATTCATCACTGTATCTCTGACACGTATTAGGCAGTCAATGTATTTGTTGAATGAATGAATGAATGAGTGAGTGAAGTAATTAATACCTCAAAATATCTTCCATGTAGCTTCATGGCCTTGATTACTTGCTGTGTTTGGCCGGCATGGCAGTGGGGAGAGAGATGGGGAGATGAGAGGAATCCTCCCTCCCTAGAGCACACCCTGCTGTTACCAGTCTGTGACAGTCAGAAAATACTGGTGTGACCTCCATAGACCTAGTCATCCTTGGGTTTTGATTCAGAATGAGACCAACAATATAAACAATATTAATGTGTTAATTCTTCTTCTTCACTTTTCAGGCTGGAGTAAAAGGGACATTGGGAAGATTAGTTGGAATTTTTGAGGTAAGCCTGTTAAAATCTTTGGTGCAATTGTTATCATGTTTGTAACCATGTAACATGGATATATGTATTTCTTTGTCTTTGTCCTTTCGGGCTGCTATAACAAAACTGAGTGGCTTGTAAACACTAAAAATGGGTTTCTCACGGTTCTGGAGGCTAGAAAGTCCAAAATCAAGGCCCCAGCAGACTCACTGTCTGGTGAGGACCCACTTCCTGGTTCATAGTTACTAGTTTCTCCTGCTATCCAAAAGTAGTGTGTTCATAGGAAGCCTTTTGTAAGTCAAAATGATAGAAAGTGAAGAAGCAATTAATTTATATGGTGATTTTTTTTTTTAGCACTTCCAAAACCAAAAAACAATCTCTCTGAGGCTTTTCTGATACTTCAGGATCCATGTTGTTAATGGTTACATAAAATAAGTCAAGTTAACGCACAGGTGTGCAGAGGCCCAGTCCACAGCTCTGGCAGCTCAATGAGGGAGTGCTGAGTGTAGTTCCCAGGGAAGGAGCCCGGCTGACCACCCTCTCCTCTCTCACGGCTCCAGGTAGCCGCTGCTTCTAATAGCTCGCTGCAGTGGAAATGCTGAATGCTTCTTCTGCTTTTCACTTTTTTTTTTTTTTTAAACGCAAATTCCTCTTCAGATTTCTTTCAGTTAGCAAAAGCGGGTACTGATGTAGGTCTTTCATAAAAGTGAAGTGGCTTACCTAGAATTTTTGAAAAGCAGGGGATACTCGCAACCATTTCTCTCTGTTTTCACACAGTGAAAGGGGGATGGTTGCTCACTGGGGCCTCTTTTATCCCAAGAGTCAGCCCTTCTCAACCCAATCTGCTGCCACATTGGGAGCTCCTAATACTACCTCCTAATACTAACCCATTGGGAGTTAGGATTTCAACATCCTAATCATGGGGGGACAAAAACATCTAGTCCCTTGAGGTCCGAGTCTAGGGTAGACGCCATCTTTGTTTTGCTGTGTTTTCAAAACAAAGCAGCACCAAGAGAATAGTTTACTTTCTTTTTCAAAATCCCACAGTCTCCTCCAGACAAATAGAATTATTTCAAAGTACAGGCGTAACCACAGAGATACTGTCGGTTCAGTTCCAGACCACTGCAATAGAGCATTTATTGCAATAAAGCAAGTCAAATGTTTGATTTTTGTCAGTGCATATAAAAGTTATATTTATACTATATTGTAGTCTATGAAGTGTATATATACACTTAAAATGTCTGTATTAATGTATATGCCTTAATTTAAAAATACTTTATTGCTAAAAAATGCTAATCATCATGAGCTTTCAGCAAGTTACAGTCTTTTTGCTGGGAGAGGGGATTGCCTCCGTGATGATTGCTGACTGATCAGGGTCATGGTTGCTAAGAATTGGGTTGGCTGTGGCAGTTTCTTAAAATAAGAAGTTTGCAGGGAGCCTGGGTGGCTCAGCCATTAGGCGTCTGCCTTCGGCTCAGGTCGTGGTCCCGGGGTCCTGGGATCAAGCCCCTCCTCGGGCTCCCTGCTCAGCAGGAAGACTGCTTCTCCCTTTCCCACTCCCCCTGCTTGTGTTCCCTCTCTCACTGGGTTTCTCTCTGTCAAATAAATAAATAAAATCTTAAAAAAAAAAAGTTTGTTGCACCAGTTGACTCTCCCTTTTGTATATATTTTTTCTGTAGCAGACTATGCTGTTTACACACAGTACAACTTCTTTCAAAATTGGGAGTCTGTCCTCTCAAACCTACTGCTGCTTTATCAACTACGTTTATGGAATATTCTAAATCTTCTGTTGTCACTTCAACAATCTTCACACAATCTTCACCAGGGGTAGACTCCCATCTCAAGAAACCACTTTCTGTGCTCGTCCATAAGAAGCAGCTTCTCATGTCTTCAGGTTTTACCATGAGATTGCAGCAATTCAGTTCCATTTAAAGGCTCCACTTTCTTTCTTCCTTCCTTCCTTTCTTTCTTTCTATCTTTTTTGATAGAGAGCATAAGCACAGGGCAGTTGGAAGGAGAGAAGGAGAGAGAGAGAGTTTTAAGCAGACTCTATGCTGAACATGGAACCCAGTGCAGGGCTCCATCTCACGACTCTGAGATCATGACCTGAGCTGAAACCAAGAGTTGGACGCTTTGGGTCCCTGGGTGGCTCAGGTGGTTGGGCAAGTGCCTTTGGCTCAGGTCATGATCCTGGAGTTCCAGGATTGAGTCCCGCATCAGGCTCCCTGCTGAGCAGGGAGCCTGCTTCTCCCTCTGACCCTCCCCCTCTCATGCTCTCTCTCTCTCAAATAAATAAATAAAATCTTAAAAAAAAAAAAGAGTTGGACACTTAACTGACTGCAGACTCCACTTACTCTAGTTCTCTTGCTCTTTCTACCACATCTGCAGTTTCTTCTCCACTCAAGTCTTGAATCTCTCAAAGTCCTTCATGAGGACTGCAATCAGCTGCTTCCAAACTCCTGTTTGTGTTGATATTTTTTACCTTTTTCCATGAATCACCATTGTTCTTTATGACATCTAGATGGTGAGTCCTTTCCAGAAGGTTTCCAGTTTTCTTTGCCCAGATCCATCAGAGGAATCACTCACTCTCTGGCAGCTCTAGCCTTATGAAGTGTATTTCTTAAGTAGAAGGACTTACAAGTTGAAATGACTCCTTGATCCATGGTCTGTGGAACGGATGTTGTGCTAGCAGGCATGGAAACATTCATATTGTCCATCTCCATCAGAACGCTTGGCTGACCAGGGACACTGTCAATGAGCAATCTTTTTTTTTTTTTTTGGTGGGGTTTTTTGGCTATTTATTCTTATTAGCATATAATGTATTATTTGTTTTGAAAGGAATCTTTTTTTCTGAGCAGTTCTCAACAGCGGGCTTTAAGTATTCAGTAAACCATGTTGGAAACAGGTGTGTTGTCATCCAGGCTTTGTTCCATTTGTAAGAGGACAGCAGAATCGATTTCGCTTAATTTTTGAGGACCCTAGGATATTTGGAATGATCCTTGAGCCCTGGCTTCAACTTGAAGTCACCAGCTGCTCTGACCAGAGAGTCACTCGGTCCTTTGAAGCTTTGCAGCCAGGCATTGACCTCTTTGACTATGAAAGTCCTAGATGGCATCTTTTTCCGATAGAAGGCTGTTTCGTCTACACTGAAAAGCTGTTGTCTAGTATAGCCCCGTCATGGATGATCAGACCTAGGTCTCCTGGAGAACTCGCTCCAGCTTCTCCACCAGCACCTGCTGCTTCCCCTTGCACTTTGTGTTACGGAGACGGCTTCTTTCCTTAACCCGCATGAAGCCACCTCTGCTAGCTTCAGGCTTTTCTCCTTCGGCCTCCCCACCTCTATCAGCCTTCACAGAACTGAAAAGAGCGAGGGCCTTGCTCTGGGTCAGGCTTTGTCTTAAGTGACGGTTGGGACTGGGTTGATCTTCCATCCAGAACATTCAAACCTTCTCCATATCAGCGGTAAGGCTGTTTCACTTTCTTGTCATGCATGCGTTCACTGCAGTAGAACTTTTAATTTCCTTCCAAAACTTTTCCTTTGCATTCACACCTTGGCTAACTGGTGCGAGAGGCCTAGCTTTCAGCCTGTCTTGGCTTTCAGTGTGCCTTCCTCACCAAGCTTAATCATTGCGAGCCTCTGATTTAAAGGGAGAGTAGAGCTATGCAACTTTTTCTCTCACTTGAACATTTAGAAGCCACTGTAGGGTTATTAATTGGGTAATCTTGTTTTATAAGGTTTTTTTTGTTGTTGGTTTTTTTTTTTTTAGAGTTCGTTTTTTTGAGAGAGAGAGAGGAGCACAAGCAGGGGGAGCAGCTGGCAGAGGGGGAGAGAAGCAGACTCCTCGCTGAGCAGGGAGCCCAATACGGGGCTTAATCCCAGGACCCTGGGATCATGACCTGAGCCAAAGGCAGATGCTTAACCAATGGGGCTACACAGGCACTCCTCATTGGACTAATCTTAATTTTGTTGTGTCTCAGGGAATAGGGAGAAGGACGGAGAGATGGGAATGGCCAGTCAGTGAGATTTATTGCTTGAGTTCACTATCTTATAGGGGCATCCTTTGTGGGACCCTAAAACAATTACAATAGCAATATCAATAGTTACTGATCATGGATTGCCGTAACACTTAGAATAATGATGAAAAAGTCTGAAGTACTCTGAGAATTACCAAACTGACAGACACAAAGTAAGTAAATACCATTAGGAAGAAGACATTGGTAGACTTGCTTGACACCACATTGCCACAGACCTTCCATTTATAGCAGAGGCAGTGTCTGTGACGCACAAACAAGGTGTGCCTATATGGTTTATCCTGTCCCTACCTCTCTTCCTCTTCTCCAAGATACAAGGAAAGGACATACAGTGTAGAGAACACTGAAGGAAAAAGAAGATAAAGTAACTATATAGCAAAGGTGGAAAGAACAAGCTAAGAGGCTGGGTAGAGGTTTGGAGGAAGGTGGAAAGAAGTGAGAAGTGGGGAAATAAGGATGAGCAAAGTAAGTAGGAGAAGGGGAGACGTGCCGGATATCAGCTTGCTCACGCTGATGGAACCCCCACCCACCCACAGCCTCTTCTCTTCCTTGTGTTCTTGCGAGTTACATTTCTCAAGGGGTCACATACTTCTTCTCACAGCCTTCCTGGGAAGTTGTACTTAGGGGAAGGGGAACAAAAAAAAGAGATTAAAGCTTGGGCTTTAGAAGGCCAGCCAAAGAGCACAGCCGTAAATGCAAGTGCGGCATGTTTTAAATAGGCCATCTGGTGCTATTCCCTTTATGACTGTAGGATGATTAAAAGTAAAAGGAATGCTTGTGTCTGAGCTCTCTGGACATATGGCTAAGGGTGTGTTTCACTTAAGTAATCTCAGCTCTCTGAGGGAAAGCTCTTCCTCTGTCCTTTTCTCTTTGCCCTTCAGAACCAGGAGAGGAAGCACAGAACGTATGTGTATGTGCTCATTGTCACAGAAGTGCTGGAAGACTGGGAAGATTCCGTTAACATTGGTAAGTTGTCCCCAGATAGCTTTCAGAATGCTCCCCACCACTGGCCCTTGCCACACCACAGGTCATGACCCAGACCTAGAAACAAGCCTGATGAAAGAAGCCATAGAAGAATATGTTTATTGGAACAAGCATGTCCATTTTGATGAAAAGTAGTGTTTTGAAATATTCAAAAGAAAGCTGAAGGTGGGTACCTGGTCAACCAATAGAAACGTGGCACCTAAAAAATAAGAAATGTGGTTTCTAACACCGAACTGGACCGTCCACAGCAGATAGTGACCCTCGGCCACAATGCTAGGGCCACCGCTGGCCACGAAACCCCAGCTGGGAGCAGGACCTTGGCTGTTCCTTGTGATGCTTATTCATACCGTTGGAGAAAGCTGCTGGTTTTGTTGGGGGAGCCGCTCCCTCCAGAGTTGTGTGGTAGAAGCAGAGTAGTGGGAGCAGTTTCCGGTTTTACCCATATTCGCCTTCAGATGCCCCTCCCTTTCTCCTGAGGAGCCGTTCTCTTTGATCGCTCAGATCACTATTGGGTGTGTGTCTTTGGAACTAAAAACTTAGGAGATTTAATGGTTGGATCATGGTTTAATCTTTTGCCTCTGAAGGAAAGTATATTCTAGGAAAGTGTAATATTAATTTAAAAACCAGTTATAAATCAGCAAATGGATAGAATCCAGTTGCTGAAACCTCTCCCTTTATGGTGCGTGTGTGCTTTGCCACCATGCCCCTCACACTGCTGATGTTGGTGTTTTGTGGCCCTTCGGCTTTCAACGGCTTTGTATCTGGTAAGAATGCAATATGCTCAAGTAAATGAATTCAGTAGGGGTTTATTAAAAATAGCCTCCTTGACAGCCAGTGCTAGGGCTTAAAAAGGAGACAGATGAGTGTGGCATGGCCCTGTCCTCAGAGCACTCTGTCAGGCGGGAGTCACACACTTGTGATATGAATTATCAAGGTACCATTGCTCTGTTAATATCCAGCAGGACTTTCACCTTGTACTACTTGCGAGAATTGAAATACTGAAATAGTCTAAAATATGGAGAATAAGCCTGTGAGCTGTCCTTCAGATGAGCCTTTTTCGGGTGGAAATTGGCTTTTAAACGTACGCCTCAGTGAAGGATAAGTGAGCTGAGGTACATTCGTCTGATGGAATGTCGCACAGCTGTTAAACACGGGCTTCTGAAAGCTAATAGACCATGGCAGAGGGCTTGTGAATCATTTTTGGTGAATGAAAAAAGCAGGGCATAAACTTATATATACACTAATTAGAGCTATATTAAAATAGGGATGTGAAATGAAAACAGAAATGAGGTTCTGGTTTTCACCTAAAGAATAAGGCAGTGACAGAGGGAAAGGTAGCATTGCCGAGCAGGGCGGTGGTGAGAACGACATGTGGCACACGCAGGTAGGGCTGAGGAGTGGGATGGCCCTGCTGGAAAGCCAATTTGGCATTACAGAACCAGAGGCCTTTAGAGTCCACATGTTTTATTCTTAGGATCTCAGTTCTAGTCCTCTTCTGGGAGGTTAAAAGAAAGAAAAAAACAGATAAAGGTTTTTTGTTGTTGTTTTTGAAGAGTGAGAGTGCTGGGGGCTGAGGGAGAGGGGAAGAGAGAGAATCCTAAGCAGGCTCCACATCCAGCACAGAGCCCAGACATGGGCTCCATCTTACAACCCTGAGATCGTGACCTGAGCCAAAATCAAGATTCAGACACTCTACTGCCTGAGTCATCCAGGCGCTGTGCATATTTTTTTTATAACGTAGACAAGTACGTAAGAAAGAGTATGAAATAAAAAATGAAGCAATAATTGTACTGATAAGCAAACTCTTCTATACTGTGTGCCAGGTATCATTCAGATATCTTACATATTAATCCTCACAACTGGGGCACCAGGATGGCTCAGTCAGTTAAGCGTCTGTCTTCAGCTCAGGTCATGATCTCAGGGTCCTGGGATGGAGTCCCATATCAGGCTCCCTGCTCAGCGGGAAGCCTGCTTCTCTCCGGTTCCACCTGCTTGTGTTCCCTCTCTCACTATCTCTCTGTCAAACAGATGAAATCTTTAAAAAAAAAAAAAAAATCCTCACAACAGACTTGTGAGATGGGTACTAGGTATTACCTCTACAAATGAAGAAGGTGGGGCACAGCTCAGTACCTAGTTCAGTAACTTGCCACGAACTGACCGTTCATTAGAGCCAGTGATGTTATTGGAGCCCAGCATGTTAGCTCCAGCATCAGGGTTTCTAACCACAGCACTCTTCTTAGAGCTGCTCAGGACTCCGAGCATCTGAAAGCATGATCCCAGTTATAGTTGTTCAGGGCAGCCTCTTTTTCAGATACGATGGAAGAAAAATAAAGACACGAAGATACCGAGGGTAGTCATTTGTGGTTTCTCGTGTTGTAGGTAATTGTATTCTTTATACTTTCTTCCATTTTCCTAATGTTAAGCAATGATCTTTTATTATAAGAGAAAAAAATAAAGGATTTTAAAAACAGATTTGAGAAAAAAGGAAGAAAACAGACTGAGAAGTGAGTAGGGATGGTTACTTTTAAAATATTTTATGATATATGGATATGTAACTCTTTAAATTCTGAAATAAATAACTGATTATAAGGCAGGCAGCCCCATAATTCTGGAAGCGGACGTTCATGCTGATTTGTGCAGAAGATGGGGGTGCTGGCTGGGCTTCAGGTGTGTACCTGCAAGCCGGGCAAGGCCCAGAGGCCCCGGAACGCAAGAGGAGACCAGGAGGGCGGGTTTCACACAGTCTGCTTCTCAGATGTCTTCCCTATCTTCCGCATCAGACATCTGTATGGTATTTGAAGCATATACTCTTGTAGGAAAAGAAAGGGAGGAAAAACACCTTCGTAATGCCCGGTTTTAAAGTCTTGATAATGTTGCTTTTCTCTTTTCAGTGACCCTTGCTCCCAAGCTGAAGATCAGAAGCCTGCGGTCCTTCCCTTTTGTCCTCATTTCTTCTTCTGTCTGCCCCCCACAGGAAGGAAGAGAGAATGGTTTAAAATAGAAGACGCCGTTAAAGTGCTGCAGTACCACAAGCCAGTGCAGGCGTCGTATTTTGAGACATTGAGGCAAGGCTACTCGGCCAACAACGGCACCCCGGTCGTGGCCACCACGTACTCGGTTTCTTCCCAGAGCTCCAGGCCAGGCGTCAGATGACTGAAGACTTCGCGTAAGAGGAATGGAAATTGGAAACTAGACTGGGGCGCAGATCTTCCCTCCCTTGCTCTTTTCACCTCTCCTCACAGACCTCCTCTCCAAATAAGGCATGATGGGCAGCAGAGAAAGGGGTTCTTGATGGTGTTGCTGTTTGGTGTTAAGTGATGGGCTTTTTCTTTTCTTTTTATTGGAGGGGGTGGGGGGTGGGTGTGTAATTTGTAAGTACTTTTGTGCATGATTGGTCCCTCCCTTTTCACACCCCTACAATTGTCTAGAGAGACAGACAGCCTTCCCTCGGCCTTGGATTCTGAAGTGTTCCTGTTTGTCTCACCCCAGCCCTGGCCAGACGTTTTTTTCTTTGATTTTTAATTTTTTTTTTATTAAAAGATACCAGTATGAGATGAAACCTTTCAAGAATTTGTCCTCTAATGCGCTGTTCAGTCCAGGAGGTTGGTCACTTCCCCGGCAGGTACATTTATCTACACATTATATACTGGGCATATAATATGTAAATAAATGACTTTTAGAAGAGGAATTTAACTGTTTAATTTTTAAGGTTTTGTTTCATTTTTTAAATTCGGGGTGTTTCTGAAATGGAGAGCCTCATAGTTAATTTCCCTTTTTGTTTTTTGATGCTAGTGGCTAGGTAAGTGTCCCTGTCCTCTCTCTCTTCCCCAGTCACTGACTGTAGTTACATAGGGTACAGAAAGAATTCAGCTACCTTCATAGCACTCCCAGAACTCATGGCCTTCTCAAAGTTGTGTTTCCATTGCCAAGAAAGACATAGGAAGAAACCTATTTTCTTTTCTATTACCGACCCGGGAGCAAATGGCCTCAGCTCAGACCTGGAGAAACAATGATAGAGATTGGAGTCCTCTGTACATGTTGACAGTAGGGATTTGAACTGGATTCTTGGGATCACTATCTAAAAAACTAGAGCATCAAGCACTGTTTCTGTCCTGCAGGTTGGAATTTTTTCCATTATGCTACTTACCGCCAACAGTGGCTTCTCTCCTCGTGCATCCATGCCTTACACCGTGCTGAACTGGACATTGTCCTTGTGCGGAATCATCCGCTGGCCTGGGCCAGTGCAGGTGTATGGTCCCATCCCCTCCCGGGTGACCATGTTTAAGTTCCGGAAAATTACACGGGAGGATGATTCAGGTGTCTGCTTATCTTTGCGATGTGACAGCACTTGGAATTGCACCACAGAGCATGCTCAGAAATAGTCAGTGTGTCTCCTGCTAAGATGTGAAAGGTCCATCTTCTGCTGAGAAGTGGCATGGGAGAACGCTGGGTGGTTGACTAGAACAACGACATCGTGCGTTGGCCCACTGCAAACTCGTGTTGGTTTTTGATACAGGCTTTGTGCTGGCTTTGTTTGCCATTTGTGTCATTTAGTTGGGAAATAAGCAGAACAGAGTCTTGAGATCGGTGGGTCTAGGAGAGCGGACACTGTCAGTCCCTGGCTTAGGACATGCCGTTACTAGCATCTCCTTTGTCAAAATGTAGCCAGGATGTGAAATGAAAATCGTAGTTTTCTTTATTTAAAAATTCTAATAAATACTCAAACTTTGAAAAGCTTTTGCTCTTCCCTCCCACTAAAAGAGATGTGTGTATATATATATATATATATATATATATATATATATATAAAAGATGTGGGCCTGTGTCATTCAGTGTTGAATATTTTGAGGGGACATCTTTCGAAGAACTTTAAATTTCTCTGTGTGTCTCTCAGTTTGTATCTTCTTTCCCAGTCTTGAGACACAGAACCACCAAAGGGTGCCCACAGTTTCCCTAGAATACTGTCCTACCTCTGGGAAAGACATCCTGTCCCTAGGTAAGGGTCCCAGTGGACAAACCTCACCACAGGATCTGAGTTTAAATACCAACTCGCTGTTCGCATTTCTTGCTCCAAAACGAACCAACTGCCACTTGTTGCCTGATGAAGAGCAGTCTGAGCTCCTGCCCATGCAAGCAAAGGAGAAAATGTAACAGGTTCAACCAAGCACTAAGTGGAATCCAAAAGACATGTTCTTCCAACTAAATTCTACCTTTACAAGATGGACTAAAAGTACTCTGCAGGAAAACAAGCAGGACTCCTAAAAAGAGAACTGCAGCGTTGCTAGTAATTCGTGCGTTTTTTCATGATCTAAAGATGTTTTTACTGGGCCAGTGTCACAACACAGGACCCTACCGAGTCCAGTGTGGACTGATGTTGGCGTCTTTGGGTCAGGAGAGTGAACTGTGCCCAGAGGTGTTTTTCAGTGACATGAATGGGTCCTATTAATGCAATTAACTGGGGAGATTGTGCTGATGCTTTCTTAACGGACAAAAAGAAGCTTTGTCCAACACCAGAATTGTGAAACTGGTGCTATTTTCTGTTACACTGGGATCCTGATGAGCGAGGATTGGTGTTCCTCCCTCCCTGGCACCGTTAACACCATGGCTGTCTTCACGGCTGTGTAGTCATAGCCCTTCTGTGATAGATGACTCAGACCCGTGGTCGCGGTGGCCGTTACTCTTCCCCAGAGAAAGCAAGGAGAAACAGAAGAACTCACACAAGTGATCCCACTCGCAGAGGCTTTCTTGGACACCGCTTTGCCGTGAACTCTGCAGGTATGCACCTCATTCGAGCTTGACACAAACAGGTTGCTGTGTGTGGCGCAGATGAAGTCTCACAGTGAGTTTGCCCGTCAGGATTCTGGTTTATTACTAGGGCGTCTATCACAGTCCACCGTGCGCTGGATGGAGAAAGTACTGGGGATTTCACTTTGTTCACTTTGTTTTCAGTTTATCATTTTGCAGCCACTGGGGAAGCATCAGTGAGGTCATGCCATCTTTTTGGACCAGGGCTGTTTGTGTGTGTGTGTGTGTGTGTGTGTGTGTGTGTGTGAGAGAGAGAGAGAGAGAGAGAGAGAAAAAGAGAAGGGCTACCAGGAGTCGGCTGTATCCGATTTGTTTGTAGCCTTCCAGAATGGCGTGGCCCATGAAACAAGAGTCCCTCTGATTTTTCTCGTAGCACACCTGGCAGGATGGAAAAGTTAACGAATTGACAGTTTTGTTTTTACAAGTGTCCGCTGCCCCATCTGCCCCGTGTGGAGAAGGCTCCCATGATGCTGAGTCTGAGCTGAGGCCATCTGGAGGGATCAAAGCGTGTGGGAGGAGCACACACACACACACACACACACACACCCCCGGTGAGGCCGAGGACGAGGAAGTCCTCGAAGGTGCGGGATTTCCACCTTCTGCCTGGCTCGGTTCAACGCCGTAGATCCTGGAGGCCTTGCCTCTCGGGGCCTCTGGGGAGCAGAGCGGGTCACTGCTCCCGGGAGGCTTCTGCAGCAGTTTTGTAAACACATTGCTACATAGTCAAGTTCCTTCGTGACACATAATTTCTGTTTTGACATTAGGAGTCAGTCCATGTAAGGTCTTTTAGACTTGCTTAGAAGAAAAAAAAATTCACCTTTTGTTGCAAAAAGCAGAATAAAATGTCCATGCAGAAATGTTCTTCTTCCTTCTTCCCCTTTCTCTTGCCCATACACAGTTCTTGTTGGAGGCCCCCCTTTCCCCCCAGAACCTATGTAATCAGAGGAGTAATCCAACTCCCGCCGGACCTGGCTGTGCATCTCACATTGTACTGTATGTGCTTGTCGTTTCCACCTAGCGCTGGGGGAGTGCCTCTGTTGGTCTCCCCACCCGACCTTTTTTAAAAACAGCTTAGCCTGAGCCGCATTTCTTTTGGTTCCTTAAAAAGGATTTAATAACCACAGTGCGATCTTTGCCACAACTGTGTGATTTTTAGTATTTCTGAAGTGTTCTTGAAGTCCAGCCTAGTTGAGAGGAAATTTAGAATTAGAAGAAATACCTAGAGAAGTTGTCACAATCGGCTGAATTTTTACTTTAAGGGAAATGAGGATTAGCTATCGTTTATACTCCAGCCTCGTCCTGGTCCTTTGTGCATTTCAGAACACCCATGTTTATAACAAATAGGAAACCTGTTAGCTCAAGAGGCTCTAGGGCGAGGAGATTATCTAATGGTGATTCTACAAGGCAAGGGCTCTTGTGGTTCTTGTTCTTGAAACTCTGAAAGAGGTCAGACCCGAAGCGACACAGGTCGTACTGCCCTGCCGAGGTGACAGCCATTCCTTCTGAGCCCTGCTGGGATGGAACCCGTTTCCCCACGGCCGTGGGGGGGTGGCTTCCAGGCTGGGCAGCTGCCGATGTTTGTGACCTCAGCCTTGCTCCATCCGGGCACCCATCTCACTCAGAGTAGGGGGGAAAGCAGCCCAGGGTCAGCCTAGGTTCTCTGGGGTGAGCCTTGCAACAGAGACTTCACTGTCCTGGAAGAGCTGGGTTCCGTTGTCGTTTTAGACTACATAAAGCAGACATTGGAGATTTTCAGGGAGTAAATTGGGAAGCACTGGCTACAATCCGTGAAAGCCACTGTTGTCTGTTGATTAGGTAACTTGAGGTGACCAGAGGCCCTGGGAACCTGGGGATGTGAGGCAGACTCTAATCTGGAGTCCAGCAGCCTTTCTGCTTCCGCCTCGACAGAGGCAGCTTCGCTCTTTGACCACATTTTTGCCGTAGCTGATGACCTTTCGGGGATGTGAGAAGCCTGATCAGAACATCCGAGCAAATGATACCTCTCACTCTCAGATTCATGAACTAGTTTGCCCTCCTAGTCCCCTTAAAAATGAATAAGTAAAAAGAGAAAGAAAGGATGCTGTTTGGGAGGGTGTGGATGCACTGCTTGAGCTGAGGCGGGTAGTCCCATGATTTTGTGTCTGCAGTGTAAAGCTTTCTGAGTCAAAAAGGCATGTCTCTCCCCGGAAGCTTTATTTATAGTGAAGATTTGGTGAGCTTTAGTCGTCTGAAAAAATGAGACGGTCCACTTGAAGGGGAGCTCACAGGGAAGCCACATCAACTCAGAATTCACGCCAGGAGGGATTCTGCTACAGAAGAAAGTGCCTTTGGCCAAAAAAGCAAGATTAATATCTAAAAGGTGGACAAGCATTGCTTCTGTTCCTCCAGCAACCAGTTGTTTAATAATTAACTCTCGGTTTCCTTTGGTTTACATTCTCAGTTCTGAACCCCATACAGAAGTCCCTAGAACATACAAAAAAAAAGGCATCTAACACTCTGGAGATTGGCTTTAAAAGACCCAAAAGCAGCCACATTGTCATTTTCCAGGTTCCTCGCCATTTTGACATGCTGCCCTCCTTTCACACTCTGCAGCCAGCCCAGATGTGAAGACTGGATTCATTGACTTGAGGAACCTTAGTTCTGGTTCTGGAACAATTACCTGCTTAATTGCTTACTGCCTGTGGAAGTTATCTGTGGGGTGTACCTTTCAGAGAACATTTCAATGGTATAGTAAAATTCTTCTGGGCTCAAGGGCCCAATCAGGCATTTAGATCAAAACTGGAAGTCTTTGGGGCTCCTTGGGGAAAAAGCAAGACACCTAAATCCCAGTGCTGGGCCTTGAGACCATACTCCCCTCTGCCTAGTATGGGGTCAAGTGGCACCTGCAGGAAATCGTTTTTCCAGTGAGATTGCCTGTAAGTCCCTTGGGGAGGTAATACCCCTGTAAACCTGTCTTTCTGAGCACTTTTATGCCAACTTGAAAATGGTAAGCT